GAATTTCTTGGATCCTAGCAGTAAAAAAGACACTGCATTGGGGTAAATAACTGTTCAAATACTTCACACACAGCCTGACTAGTAAAATTCTTGGATAAGTTGATGGAACTCAACCCAGTGGAATTTTGTAGCTCTAACTCTTGCTTTCAACTAGGTGTTTCCCCTTGATGGATTGGCACTGAGTATGACCCACAGGTATTGTATTCCAAGAGAACTTTGGAGCAAACAACTCTTAAGGCCTCAATTAAATCTTTTCTCCATCCATTCTTCATTCTAAACAGCGGGAACTGCTGTAATACATGTAAAAAAATTGACCTGGTCAGCAAAAACCAGTAGAAAGTTGCTTGGTTGGAATTTCAGCCTTATAAACTGTCTTCAATCCATCTGCAGTATCTTTTTCTCTACATGAAATCTAATGGCCCTGACGTGCAAGGCTGGTTTAATAACATCTGTTCCCCCTGAATTACTGGAGAGAAGTATTGATATAGCCATATTGTCAAGAAGTAATTTTAATCATGTTTTGACAGGGCAATTCTTTACCACAGCGTTGTCAGTAAAAATGTTTATGTTACTTTGCTGTTATTATCCGTCATAGTGGTATGGTAAAACATTGCATATGTGCTAGAAATGAAGGCAGTGCTTAAGGTTTTATGATTTAGTATTTATGGGAATTCCTTTGCAGATTGTCATCTTCTCCAAGGGATAATAGCATCCTGTGGTCTTGTCATCAAGTGCAATTTTCTCTTAATAGCTCTTGTGATTAAATCAGCAAAAAACTATTTTCCACAGTTTTGTTGCTCTTTCCTTCTTGAATCCTAGAAAAAGTGGGATAGATGTTATCTGAGCCCTGGTATCACATAGAACCCACGTCGTGTGGGTTAAGGTTTCTTCTGGTGGCTTCTCATGAGACAATATTGTGCTTGGGTCCAAATTTTGTATGCAGCACTTCAGTTGAAGAAACCAGTTATGTTTCTGCAGTGGTTCTTACTTGTGAAAATGCATGGAAGCATTTGAGCAGGAACAGATCAGGTCTTTGCTCTTAAGGTTGCCTAGTGGCAACCCAGCAATTGTGTGTGTGGCTTTAAATTGCCTGATGTTAACAGGAAAAGAAGCAGCCATGGCTGCTTCTGCTAGTTCTGTCCCAGGTCCTGGCACTCACTTCTTCCTCCCCCCATCTGCTGTGGGGAGCAAGTCACCAGCTGTGCCACACAGCAGATGGCAGGAGTGTTTGAGGATGAAGGTAAGGAATAGGATGAGATGAAGGAATAGGCAGAAGCTGCCATGGATGTATCTTTCTCCACTCTCTCTGGAAATTTAAAGCTTCTTGCACATTTTCTGTGTTGCAGAGTGGGAACTGCATATTTTGAAAGGAAGAGCTGGATGTGAACCACACGCCTCATGAGAGTTTCAGCACTTCAGTTCTGTAACTCATCTCTGTAGTTCAAAGCTACGCAAAGCAAAGATGGGCATAAACTCATATGCGTGGTTCTGCTGAGATACCACATATAATAAAAACTCACATGGTGCCTTGGTTTAAGGATGTTTGCTTTGAGTCTCTTAAGATCAGAGTTGGCATTTTGTTTTGTAACTGTTTGTGCCAATAATAAATGTTCGGATTCGAATCTAGAACCTCAGTGAGTGCTGTTTGGACCAAGAAATGACTGCCACCTTACAGACTCAATAGCATACCTGTTGTCAGATAGGCAACAGGCTATTAGGGACCTATAGGAGCTATAGGAAGGATGACATATCATTGGTGTTGCACAGAATACCAGTCTGGTTTCATCAGCACAGTTTGCCGTGTTCACCTTAACAGCTGTGGGTTTCCGTATGATTTGTGTGTGACTCTCTGCTGCCTTGAATTATTGATCATTGCTCCACGCTTAGTATCTCAGTTACTTGAATTGGCGGAAAACAGGAAAATGCTTTGCATTAGTACGAGGTACTGCTGTGAATAAATAAAACTAGGATCCTGGCTGCCAGTCCTAGAAAGTACTTTGGCCATGTCTGTGCTTCATTTTCAGCAGTTTAATTTTCATGCACATCTGACCTTTGGGCTATTCACAGATGTGCATCCACCCATTTCTGCTGTGGCTTGGATATATTGATATAGGCACATAGGTTGCTGTGCAACATTGCATTTGGCATATGTCTTCCTTCAGGCATAATCTGTTCTGCAAAAGCAGCATTCTCACACTCACATAGGGTAGCAGAAATTTGTAGGGATTTTTTTAAGTATAATGTCTGGATAAGCATTTACCTAACCAGACGTTAAGATAACTATGTGGGACTTTCCCCTGCATGCCACTGCCAGATGAGGCTGGCTGATTAGGGAGAAAGCCTCTACTTAGGGAGTGCTCTCCCCAAAGAGGTGACCCTGGCACCTCATCCTGTACTTTCTTTAGCATGAGGACCATGTCATTTTCCCAGCCTGTAAAAAAACTGCTTTTGGTGCTTTTAATACTCCATTCTTTTGGTTTTATTCTTTGCTTTTGATTTTCTTGCTTGTGGTTTTATTTTTTGTTTCAGTATTTGTATTCATGTTTTAATGTATTGTACAGCACCCAGTAGACTTTGGTTATTGGGCAGTTTAAAAGTATAGTAAAAATAATTAACTATCAGCACAATCCAATGGTTTCTAGACAGCATCTATATGGCCATAGGATATTTTAGCATCCCAGTTCTGGCCTTGGAAACTTGCTCTGAGCTTGCAGCTCCTTCTCCCCATGTGCAGCTGACATAGGTTGCTTCTCTGAGGTCACGGTTGTGACCTTGGAGGAGGGCTTTTGTGGGTGTTCTCGGAGGAGGGGAAGAGACAGACAGAAGTCATCCTGCCTCCCTCCTGCTGCAAGGCGCGACACTGAGACAGCTGAACCTGGCCTTCTTAAGTTATGCAGGACAGGAGCAGCATGGGGCCATCCTTTGCCCCTGTGCTTCCTCCACCCTACATTGGATGCCTGTAATCTTGGACAAGGGCATGCAAATTGGGTGATGCACTGCATAAAGCACCCTGTTGCCACTTAGGAATTCTGACTGCAGAGATGTTCACTTGTACTCTCACTGTGTAGGTACTAAGGCAAAAGTGGAATCAATCTGTGGCATACAAGTGGCATGCTGAATGTCTGAAGGCTAGTTTGTCAAATGTGTACTGCCAATTAGAAACTCTAATGTAGATGGCATTTACAAACTGCAGTGAAGATTAGTGTCTTCACAATGGCTTTGACGATGCTTGTTTGAAGGTGGTATAGTCCCTTTGTGAAGAAAGGAAGGAATGAAACAGTTCTTTACTGAAAAAGCAGTGAATGCCGTTACTTAAGTATCTGAATGTTGAGTTCCAATATAAAGGACATGACAGCCCATCATGGGTTAATTTATTTGAGGGGCTGAGACCCATGGTGGCTACCTTTTTGACCTTTGCTGAGGGTTATTGAACCCAGGGTGAACAGTCTCTACATAATCCTAAAAAGCTCTTGGGTTGTTTAAGCCTCAAATAGCCCCCACTGCCTGGACTTAGATGATCTGTTTATAATGGCAGCTAGGATGCCATTAATTTAACTTACAGGTAAATTAACCCTTGATGGGCTGTTGTGTCAACTGAGCTTGGCCAACTTGATGCAGCAATCTGTAGCGTGCAGTTGGAATCCAGATTTGTGTATGCGTAACTCCTTTCAGTAAAGCCATTTGTATGATGCTATATTGACACAATGAAGTCACAAAATAAAAGGAAGCACTCCAGAAATAGTTGTATATTGAATAAACTGATGCGCAAATGAGGCTCATGGAAGATATATGATGCATAAAACTGCAAATGCAGTAGGTAACAGTTAAAGTTATAAAGAATTGTAAAATGAAGTTAAATTCAACAGTCAATTATATATTATAGTATATGTAATTACAGAAACTCAACAGGAGGCCAGTCCTTTAAGTTCCATTCAGAAAACTTAATCATGAGCATTAATTTCTAGAAATGTGTCTCACAGAGATCCTGTATGAGAAGAAATAGTCAGCATTCTGTATATTATGCCTATAATAGTGATAGTCCTAAAAGTCTTATGAATATCTCATGAAATGTTTGACTGGGTGAAGTTGCAAAATCTTTATGGTAATTAGGGTCATGTCAGTGGCTTGCTGCATGAGGTAGCGGCCATATGGCATAGATTTCAAACTGTTGCCATGGGGCTCCTTGCTTGTCCAGGCTCTCATTTCCCCTCACTGTTACATAGTACAGGGTTTGGATCCAGATTTAAACTAAATCAACTAGGCTGGTAGAAAGGAACTTTCCTGCCCCTCTCCTTTCCACAGCCCCTTGCCTGCAAATGCTGCAGAGAGTCAGGAGCTGTGTGGGTAGAAAAGGGATCCCCACAAATTACGGAAAGGGGCCTTCCATGAGGAAGGCTCTTCATTTTGTGGAAAATCCTTTTCTCTTGTGGAAGGATGATTCTGGGTCCAGTCAAAGGTATTCGAGTCTCCAGAGAGCCTTTCATTCATAAATAAAAGCCCTACAAAATGAAATTAGTGTTTTGTGTTTGAACTCAAGCTAAAGATCCTTGCTGTGACTGCTCTGGGCCTTGGATGGTTTCCAAAGGGAAATGCTTCATCCACTGATGTATTCCATAAGATGCAGCAACAAATAGGTGCTTGGTTCCATATTTAGATGCATGATACATCCTTAGAATCTCCATTCCACAGCAATGGAGATTCTTTAAATTGTGTTTATGATAGGATACGCTGAATTACTGAAAACAAGATACACTGGCTTATCCTGCATTGCAAGTGGCAGAGAGAGTTGGAGGGGAAGGCTTGCACTATCTTAAACTTCAGTGATTCAGTGATGTTCTTTTTTACTTTTTAAGCCCCTTGGTAATTCTCTGTCATTAGGCTAAGTGTTCGCTGGTTTGGTTGGGTTAATGTGATGTGTGGATATCCTGAGATAACAGTGATTTGGCGCCATAATGAGTTTCCTGAATAGTAAATGTAATGCTCAATTTCTTTTGTTACAGATGGAAGAGAAACGGCGAAAGTACTCGATCAGCAGTGATAACTCAGACACCACTGACAGTAAGACCTTTAATTCAAGGCTTAGGACAAGATAACTAAACGATTCACCTCCAGCAGGGAAAACATTTGAGTAATTACTTTGCAGACAGGCTGGAAAGCTACATTTTACTGGAGAGTCCCTGAACAATAAATTGTACTCAGGGATCGCTTCTAAAATATGCTGTAAGAAGTTAATATCCACTTACGTATCTGGCAGTGGAAGCCTTTAGTCCGATCAAAGTGTCTTCCTCCTCCCATGAACAGTGTGGCAAGAAGAAGCCACAGAATGAAACTGATTACAAAACTTTGACCCAGACAAAGCCCTTGTTAGATAGCACATTGCAAACCACCTTTTACAACTCAAACTCCAGCCTGTTGCAAGATTGGCCTCCTTTCATTTTGCGTCTTTCAGTTACAGTTGTCTGTTACTAAGCACCTTTAGAAGATTTGCGACTTTTCCGTTTCCTGTATTACACAAGTATCAGATGGGATCCTTTCTGCCTTAACTTACCGTTAGTAAAATGTCTGGTTTGACACTTAAAGGCCAAAGGCAGAATGAGTACAATAAAATGCCAGCCTCATAGGGCTTAACTGAACATACTGAAGAAATCAGTTTTGAAACTACACTGTGAACACTGTGTAATTCAGTTTGCAAGCACTGTGAAATCTTGTCATTAACTCACCCACCCTTAGTTACCTTTAAATAAGTTACAGGATCTGGCATTTGAAAACCATGTGACAATATGCAGCTACTGTCTGTTCTTGGAAAAGGAAGGTCATAGTTGTGTTTACAGTTACTCTGCAGGAGAGCATTTGTCAACAGCTAAAGCATCACCTGCTGCATAAATACCAAAGTCCAACAGAGATAAGGCTGTGCTGCTTAATACCTTGATTAAGGACGCCTTAACCCTCAAAAGCCCTGAAGCAATATTACAGAGCTTTGGGAGCTTCTGCATTTCTTGTAGTAAAGTGGTCAGCAGCTTTGGTCAATGACTAGGCAAAGTTGCTTTGGCGAGGAGATGCCCTCTCCTCTAGCAGCTAGGGGCCCAGGTGGAGAGGACATAGCCCAGCCCAACCGTAGAGCAACTTGCCACGCATGAAGATGGTCTCAGGTTCAATTCCTGGCATCTTTAGTTCATTGTTGCAGGATATCAGGCATGGGGGCCAAATCTGGTGCTCTGGGATTTCTCAGGTGGCCATGACCCTTCCTTTGGCCCCACCCTTTCCTCCAGCTATCAATCATCTGGTTGTATCCTGGCTTTGGTGCGGTCTCTCCGCTCTTAAAGTTGAACTGCCTCTCTTAAGGCTTAGTTGCTGATGGTGAGACTTTAAGCTAAAAGATGTTGGCATTTTGGCCAACAGATAGCAGCAGCACCCAGGACCTTGGCAAGCTGCTGCTAGTCAACATTAGTAATACTGGGCTAGCTAGTCTGACAAAGCAGAAAGTAGCTTTGTATAAACTCTGTTGTCACATATGTTCTTGTTCACTCAAATTCCCTTTGAGGCTAGCAATTTGAGGCCAGATGATATTGCTTAAGAGATCAGTTTTGGCCCAGGGATTTCTTATTGCTGAACTTGCTATTCAGTGGAACTTAGGAGATCTTCCAAATTTAACTTTTACATGTAAGAGCATATGTACCCAGGATTTGATCCATGCAAATATATAATGAGAAGAATAACTCATCTATTCTAAAATTGCCTCAGGACACTGTTTAGGATTTCCTTCACTTCTCTGGGACTGTTTAGAAGAGCAGCATATCCCCGTATTGATGGCAGTTCACTCCAAGCCTCCAGATGACTTCTTTGATTGTTTTAATGTGGATGTCATAAAGCACAGAGAAGTCCAAAGTCCAGTGACCATGGGACAGAAGTCCCTGAACACCACCTGCTCAGTTAAGGAGTAGCAGATATAGCCCTGCACGTGTTTCATTCTACAACTTTCATCAGTCTGAGAAAGCATAGTTATAATGGGGGCTCACAGAAGTTGCAGGCCCAGCATCTGGAGGGCCTCAAGTTGCCCACTCCACTTGTAAATACATCCCACCTATCCACCCTTCCCAGGAAAGGACTAGAGGCACTATAACAGCATGCGGTCCAGTCCTATCTCAGCTAGGTGACCAAATGTTACTGTAGTGTCCTCTGGAATCGATGACTACTGAGATATCCAGAAGAAATAAGAAGCTGGCATCCCCCAACATCCTTATTAAGTGTAAGTGGTCTTCCAGTTTACCTGAGGTTGCTGCTATCCCAAAACCTGGCTGAAAACTAGATAGGAATAGACCCAAATAATCTGCATTCTCCAAGATAAGTTTTCTCCAAGGCTTAAGAAGCCTAAACTTTTTCCAGTACCTTATTCGGGAATGGTACATTAAATATCGAATGGTAATTATCCAGAATCAAGAGACTGAAATTTATTGCTGCTGCTGTTAACAAGAATTTAATCATTGCTTCCTTAAGTGGTTAAGAGAGACATCAGCTGTCTCAGATTGTAAGCCCAGTCTTAGGAGATATTAATATCTGGGAAACGCACGATTCCAAAGAAGAGCTTGAAGGTCTCAAACGTCCAAGTAACTTGGCCGTATCACTAGGCTACATACACTGAACAGAAGTCAGCATGGCTACCTGAATCCCTAGCTGCATCCATCTCTGACTATCAAAATGGTGGCATCCAAGTCAGAATGAATGTGAACAATTTTTGACTGCAGAATGTAATACAAATGTCAAGTAACCCTCAGTGGTTCCATCTGATCTCCTGATACTACAGAAAGGTGACTTCACCATTTGAAAATGCTTCAGTGGCTGTCATTGTGCAGCTTCAGGGGAGGTGGAGAAGTAAGGGTTTTTTTACCCCCATAAATGCCACAGAATAAATTATCTTACTCGTGTTCAGTGATGCCATGACAAGTTGTATGCTGCCTATGCACCATTTCTCAGTCTACCCTGATCCATGACTCTCAGGTTCCCAGAGTAACAGGGTGCGAATATGCCTGTCTGATTGTGTGAACAGTGCTTGAGAGCAGTTGTATTGATGGTCCAAGTGACGAGCAGGACGTTAACAGAACTATCCATTTAAAATTCAGGAAGCTCACTAGGAGATCTCAGGAAATCATCAACCTTGTGAGGCAGACTGTTAAAATTGTTCTACTGTCACTCCAAGGGGCAAGAGTGGCTCATAGGTCAAGCTTGGTTAGACAATCATCTGTTTATAACAGCTCCTTTTATAGCTTGCCACATCACAAGGTGATTGAAAGAAGTCAAGCACTGAGGATATTTTCAGCTTGCTGAGAGTCCTTTAAGCACAACTTGTAAAGGTGTGATCTCCAGTTCTGGAGAGGATCAGAACAGAGCCTCCAAAAAGGAACTAAAACTATTGAAAGCAACTGCTAAAGTAATACATGTCTGTGGGCTTATGCTAAATTGCAAAGTCATCTATTGATGTGGGCCTTTTTCAGATATTCCAGTAGCATCTCTAAAGTAAATTAGAAGTTAGTAGCACAATTAGCAACAGTTTGTAATCCTTGAACATCTGGGACCTGTGAAACTCGCTCATTCCACGTCCACTTGTGCGGTACTCGGCACCTCTTGTGAAGTACACTTAATGACCAATGAAATTAAGGGCTTGTTGAAGGCACTTGAGATTCCACAAGCACTCTTGCCGGGCTACTTCACTACAGTCTGCGCATTTTCCACCATGTCTAAAAATGGACGTGGTTGTCCCTTGATCAGAACCTCTAGCAAGACTCCATTCAGACTCCTCCACTGGATTGTTATTGCATCAACACAACAAACAATCACCTTTCCCCTGTGAACAGCATTGGAAGAGCTGTTTTCCACAGACTTAAAGAGACAGACATAACAAAGCCATTGTAAATATGAGTTACTTAAGGGTTTTTGTTTTGTTTTTAATGACCCTAAAGTAGGGGCTTGGCACTTTTTTCATCACAGAGAGAGTGGGTGAGGCAAGTATGATTATTGCCACGCTAAGCCTACTTAGAAGTAAGCAGGACAAGGCTTCTGTGTGTTTACTGAGAAGTAATCAAGATTCAGAAGCCTGTTCAAATAACATCCTAAATATCAAGCTGCTGCATGTCTATTCACAAATAGGCAGGTCTTTGTCCTGCCTGCAAAAGGCACAGCTCAAAATCCTTGCAGCTTCTCAATTTTTGTAAGGTTTTTGAAGTTCAGTTGCTTTAAAATATTCCCTTATCTCTGATCAGGGATCAAAGATAACAGCAAAGAAGACTGAGGCCCAGATGGGAAATTCCCTGGGCTGCAACTGTTCCACATCCCCTGCCATAAACCCACCTTTGTTCATTTAGAGCATTTCAGTTGTGCTCATCTATGGGACCATTAATATGGCGACCATGATAGAGACCAGTTAGAACACTGCTGCCATCAGTGTGATTCCAGCAGAATGGGACCGTGTGGTGATGACAGTCTTTGAGTGTTGAGACAATGTAGCTTCATCCACAGTAGCCGACTACCACGGATCTGTAGGAGCAACAGCACTGGAGAAGTGGGAAGGAATCTCCAAACAAACAGTTCTCCCAAATAGTTAGAACTAAAGGGCATCTTGAGTTAAACTGAAATGCGACTTCATGCTGGAAAATACCCCTGGCCATTTCAGAGAATTAAGTTCCCCAAATAACAAAGGTTTGTTGCTATTGGTAGTGGTGAGATTTAAATGACTTAAAATGAAACATGCTTTCCCTGCCAGGAACGTTTTATGTTAGAACTGAAATAAGAAATACACAAAATGATTCAGATTGTGATGGGCCTTCAACTTAAACAGCCCACCATTTCTGAATTCAGGTTTCCAGACAGGAACAGCTGGCATGATATAGAAACCAATCACTTTGAGCAAGAACAGATATGAAGGCAGGTCTTAAACATTAGAGTTCATCTTGGTAGAACTTTCAGAAGACCTGCTGTGGATTTTGGGGGATCCCAGACAAGGCGAGGTCATGCACTTTTGAAATGTTTGACTACGAAGAGGCATTATTAGTGGTGCCCTGTCATACTCTGTGATTTCTGTTCCTTTTAAATCTTCTTGTTACATTTAGGAAAACATAACCCTACATTTTATTTAGTATAAAATGTTGCCAGTATATCTAAGTGCTTCACTGCTGAAAGCTAGTTATTCAGGAGATTTGACATACCTATTTTTGTTACTTTCCAGACAGTAGTTAGGTTGAGATTAGACTTTTCTTTATTTAATTCTTGCCTTTCCTTAACTTACCTTGTTTTTCTTCTGAAGGTCAGACAACATCAGCTTCAAGATGCTCCAAAATACCAAATACAAAATCTGGTTGGTCAAGGCAGAAGGAGAAGAAACCCTCAGAGGTTAGTTGTTTTACATGTTTCTATTCATCTTTTGTATTTGCTTTCTTTTTATGGCTATCCAGCCGTAAACACAAACAGAGTATTCCTAAAGCTGAAGATAGGGCAGAATTATGTTCACAGGAGTTGATGGCGTGGCACAGGCCTTGGAGAGTGAGGCGGAAGCACAGAGGCCCTCTGCCGATGAGGGGCAGGAAGGAGCTGCCCCAGATCTGATGTGAGACCTGAGCTCAAGAGCACTGGACTCTGGGGGGCAACTATTCTAAGGTGTCTCCACCCCACCAGGGATCAGTGACAGTGGAAAGACGTCTACAACCTGAACAAGAAGCAGGGACCTCAGAACACCATCTGGTACTATTGGAGTGCAAGGCAGAGGCCGGGAGTAACAGTTGAGGTGGGCCTAACTATGGAGCGGGGTGGTGGGGGGCTTTGATGAGCTTTGCTGGAGTTCTCTGGTTGCTGTCCTTGGTCCTGCAGTACCTGATACCTGCTGGCTTCTGCTGAAATGCTGATTGAGATCAATCCATAGGGCCATCCTGAACCCAAGGCAAAGGCTTTCCATATGAAAATCCCATGCAGCCATTTATTCATTCATTGTCATGGGTACTGTGGTTCTGCCTTCGGCACAGAATGATAGTATCTTGGTTATGCTGGTATCATTTTTAGAATTTTGCACACTGAAACTACCGGAAGTGTTTGTGAGCAAACACTGCACATCCCATGTTGAGGCAATGGATGCCCCTCTGCAGAAAGTCCAGTCTTTTCCATGAAGTGCCCTGCAATAATGCTGGTGTAAAGTATGCTATTTGGAAATTGTGGAACAGAACCATCCCTGCAGTATTCATGGATCAGTCTGATGCGTGAATGAGCCTGACACAGTGGGAGACTTTCCAGCAGACTTCCTGATGGCTTCCAGTTCCTTTAGCTATTTTAAGACAATAGCTAAATTTGACTGGCTGATGAGCCTTTCAGCAGACCACAGTTTAGAGTTATTCTAAATCTTAAACACAAAGCAGTTTGTGGGTGGATGTGCATGGAACCAATCTTATTCTTTATATATCTTGTATTCGTCTATCTTAATACTTATCAGGTGGCTTTGCGCAGAAGACTCTGGTGAAGACAACACATACTAAAATCAGATGTGTCGATTGAAAATGCAATGAAATAGTTCAGTACAACTCAGCCTAAGAATTCCTGTCAGTCAAACACCAAGATCAAAACTTAGGCTGTAGCTAACTGCCAGTTTTAAAAGGAACGTTCTCCTGTGTCATGAAAGTGTAGGAGGAGGAGAATGTGGGGAGGAATAGGGCTATTACACTGTTGTGCTTGCCAGCAGCCGGTCCTTAAGGCTTGTGGGATCAGTTTCTGTTCTAACCCAGTATGCCAAAGGGTGATCCAATAGACCCAAATGCTCCTTCCCCTCTAGAGGCAAGGCTTTAAAAGGGCTTGTTGCAATTGCTGCCCTCTTGGTGCCACCCGAAGCAGGTCATGTCATCTTGCTCCATACCAGAGTGTGGGTTCAATTTAAAAGTGAATTAGTGTAACAAAAGGAACTAGGCGGGTTCCCAGAAATGTAGACCTTCCTGAGTCTGCCCAGCTCGTACAAGATTCATGGGCATGACCAGCATTTGGGATGCTGGGGTTGGTGCCATACCTCAAAGCTGTTCTTGTGCAACAGTAGCAAAAAGCAGTGACTAGGATCAGACCAGGGAATATAATTTATTTTAGACCAAGGGCCAACTTCCATTTCAGAGAAGTGTTGATGCAATGGATAGAGCCGAAGGCAAAAGGGACAGGGTCAGAATAGCTGCCTGTTTCAACGTAAAGCTCTTACTGCCAGTAATTCATCCTTAGGAGAAGTGTTTCATTTTTGGGTGGGTTAAAGCTGCACAGAAAACGGAAACAAGTGGATGGTTAAGTGGTTGGGGAAAGGGGTGGGGCCAGAGGAAGGAGCATGGCCCTTGAGGGCCCCCAGAGAGCCTGATTTGGCCTGAGGTTCTGCACCCCTGGTCAGCTTTGCCCATGGATGCAAACACACACCTGCACTACATCTTCCTGTTGGTGTCAAGAAGCATTCTGAGGATTCCACTCAACTGAGTCTACCAAGCACCATTCTCTGGTTAAGAAATTGCTTCTGGCCTGATACATTCATGGTAGTTTCAACATCAGTGCCAGCCTTAGTGAGATATGAACTAAAGGGGGAAATTTTGCATGCAAATTTCAGCTTGAGCACACGCGGTTACTTTCTATAATGTCCCTGCCTGGCATTTGTGGCCACAAACAGCTCATTTTAAAAGAACAGTTTGTTATGCACATTCCTGCAGGCATCCAAGAAGCGAATGACATAGAAGTAAGTGCCCGACACAAGAACCAGACTCTTGAGAGAGGATGTGAATCACTTATCACAAGCTGAAGAAATAGCTTGGCCCTTTCAAATGGCATCTCAAGGTTGGAAAAACGTTCTGTATGGTTGCCTGAGGTGTCATTCTCCATTCTGCTGGTAAATACAGTTCCCTTCGAAAGTATCATGTTCCAGGAATTGCACTTCTGCAGCGGCTGGGCACACACAAACTTGTTGCTGTTCCTTATTTTAATATAGACTGAAAGCATCCATTTCCTAGCCACATGGGAAGAGCTGGCTGCTCATGTCGAACATGAAAAATAATAATTAACAGGTGCTTTAAAGGCATTTATTTATTTATTGCAGATACATCTGTGTGTGGTTACTGAGACAGGCCGTTACAACATTCACACACAGGGGCCCTTTCTCTGGCATTGATGGCTATTGGTGTAGCACGAGCATTAGGAAATCTCCCTCTCTAAATTTTAGAATTGGTTCCAGTATCAACGCAGCCGCTACAGACCATATAGTGCATTCAAGAGTTCTGCACCCATTGGCTTGGATCATCAGTTGTTCTTTGGTTCTGGTAAGGGAGGGGGTAATTTCAGCCAATGCCTCTCCTTGTTTGCAACCCCTTCTACCGTATTCCTCACCATTCCCAGGAACAGATTGGGAGTAGGAACGCAGGCAAATGCATAAGGTAAGGACAGTTGTGAAAGCCGTGTTCTGTGAACATGAATACTGTTCTGTTTTATGGAAGGAAAGTTAGGATTCAGGCCATTACCTTGCTTTCCTGCAGCGACTCTGTAAGGCAAGTCAACATCATTAGGCCCATTTTCTTGGTGTGACAGTTGAGACTGTGGGTGAAGGCTTCTCTCGACTATTAGCCCCTTACTTAGTACCTGTATCTACCTAGTAAAATGATAGAGGCAATAGTCAAGTTAGGAACATCATCAGTTATAGTTCAGTATCTTAGGTTGCAGTGCTATGGATACTTATCCAGGTGTAAGCACCATTGAATATTACAGTAGACACATTTAGAACAGGGATGCTGGGATCTGCAGTCCAATGCCTCTGCAAGGCACAAGAAAGCTGATACAGGAGATCTGTTACTTAGCCTTTCCATGCTATGCTCCAGTTCCATCTCTGGCTGAGGTGCCCTTCGTATTCAGTCTAGCAGCACAAGCGAGAAAGATAAGGAATCAAAGGCATTAGCACTGTGTAGTCATTAGCTAAGTCAAGGGTGATACTTATTATAAAAGACTGTGTGACAAGGGATTAGCTATCCTCATTTGCTGTGCAACTGGAAAAACGAGCTTCTTTGCACAGAACCCCCCCCACACACACACACACACATACACACACACACACTAAGCCCTTTGTAAACACTGAGGTCATTATGTGGCATTGTCAGGACACCCAGCAACAATTCATTATTGGTGCTGCTTTCAGGTTCTTCCATGTTCCATTATTACAGTGTTTCAGGAGCTTTGGGCCTGAAGTGTTCTGCTCTTTGTCTTCATATTTATTCAGTGCAAAGTAAGATGGCTTCTCTGTTGCCCAGAGGTACAGGGCAGTAGTCCAAGGTGGCTGCATGTGTTCCTGCAGAAGCTGCAGAAAAAGCTGAGAAAAGGGAAAAGATTAGGCCAGTATAGGCACTGGTCTGTATACACGGAGTGGTATGCTTGACTAATGTAGGCCTCACCAGGATAGCTTCCCTTTTGCAACACAGTGCTTTCTCCTCTTGCTTGCCTGCACTTACATTGGGGTGACCAGAGCTTAGGAGGTTAAAACAGCATAACAAAACCATCCTATGGCTAGAATTGCAAGATAAGTCACCATTCCTTAGTTTCAGTGTTTCTTATGTAAGACCTGGTTAGTGGCTAATAAAAAGAGAAAAAAATGTTATATATTGCACGATTTATATATTGGTTAAGTTATCTAAAAACTCAAAGTGGCTTTCAAAAGTTAGACATTACAGTACAACGTAACACATGTGAATACTCATCGTTTAAAACCCCAAAAACACAAAATTAGTACAACAGATGGTATAGGGAAGCACCAGCAAGGGTATTCACTTACAAAGAAAACTTTTTGTTGTCTCCCCTTGGACTCCAGTAGCACTAGAGGTTGAGGTCTCAGCCAGAAGCAGATTTCACAGAAACACAGGCAAGTTACTAAAGCAGAAAGAGCTTTGGTATTTTCCAGCCACTCCATAAGACAAAGTGCAGCTTTACCACTCTAGAACTGCTTTTTAAAAGTGTTGCTCTTGATGTAGGATTTAAAGTAGCATTCTTCCATGAATTCCAGTGAGAACTGGCTATGCCACTCTTATTAAGAGCTTTTGCAAGTGAGCAAAAAGAGCCTCAAAATCAATATAGACATTTCATAGGGAAGCAAGTGAGAAGATTTGAAAAGGAGGCTGATGGGAAGAGAAAAATGTGAAGAGATAAGACTCAGAGCAGAAGTAGCTTTGTGCAAAGCCAGTGGAAAGCTTGCACTTTCGGGAAACTAGGGAATTGGAACAGGTATTCAGAGGTCTGATGAAACCATCGACCATCACCATCCTTGGCTGTCTTTGTGTCACAATGGTAGTAAAGTTGAGTCTCAAGGGCATCTTATCAGATTATCTTGCCTCCTGTAAATCGGGTGGGCAGAAAAGTAGTTCTCCAGGCACTCTGTATTTCAACAGCTAGCATTTCTGACAACTGACCATGCTGGCGGGGGTCCTGGGAGTTGAGTCCCAAAACATCTGGAGATGAAACATCTGCCTATCCTTGCTTTTGATTAAGCTCCATTGAACCTTTGTTTAAGGGGTTGTATCCCAGCATGTGTCAAAGCCTCACAGGGCATATGAGTACTTTTCTTTTTTTTGGTGGACTACTGCATGCAGGCATGGGCTACAAACCATACCTAAATCTAGGCTGCTTAAATCCCATTCTATAGATTTTACCACAGTGATTTTCATTTGTCTGCTCCTTTCTATTTCTGACTGTCCAAATGTTTTTTAAATCCTGGGCTGGGTTTTTAGCTGCAGTCTAGGCAGCCATGAAACCACAGAAAAGAGAACCCCGTCTTACCAAACAGCATATGAACCAGGACAGCTTTGTTATGACTACCTGACCATTGAAGAAATTTGGCAACCAGAGAACAGCAAATAGTATTTGTACCTCTGTCTTCGAAGAGCATTGTTCCTACTTTGAAATGGATTCCTAAGTACAGGATACAAATAATGTAGCATCATAAAGGATTCATTCAACCCATTTTACTCTTACCTTTCTACCACATGTGTCCATAAGTGAATGTCTTGCAGGTATAATTATAGCTTCTTCAAAATATAAATGTACTTGAAAATTATCTGCAACCAGTCACACTTTGAGTGCTGTGGGTTAATTGCCTGTTAAACTTAGGTTGGAATTCTGTACATACTTACTTGAGAGTAAGTCATAAGCAGGTCTTACGAATGAGGATTGCAGTGTCAACTACAGCTTGATCCTAAGATGTGTGAACACACACACACACACGTAGTGTTCAGTTTGGAGTATTTTGATCCTGTTGACCCATGTGACAGCATGAGCCATAATTTTAAACCGCAAGGGTGTTATACTGGCCTTGAGAGCAGATTAATCAGATTGGAGCATTATGTTGTGGTCAGTTACTTTGTATTAAAGCAGTTCCAGTAGAAATTTTCCAAATTAAAGATTCCTCAAATCACAGCCTAAGGGTCACTTTAATGCTTTTGCAACAGCATAAATGAAGCATAACAGTTGTTCCACTATATACATGAACCCTCTCGAGTGTGAACACTACTCAACCAACATCACTGTTAGTTTGTTCTTTTATGGGGAATGCCAATAGCTGATAACAAATCAGCAAACTTATTTAGCATTGCCTGATCTGCTAATGAGAAGCAATTCTAAGTATGAATTTCTTTGAGTATGAATTCCTTTAAATGTCTAAAAAGAGATCATGAGTCTTGAACAGAGATGCTCAAAAGGAGATTGTGCTGATTTAAAAAGACCCTGAAACATAAGAAGAGCCCTACTTCACTGGCCCAAGTCCTATTTAATTCGGCAATGGGCTTCCTGCAGTGGACAGCCAAGTGCACAGGTGAACTCCATAAACGACTTGAGACAATAAACCTCCTCCTCTGTTGTTTCCCAGCTGCTGGTGTACAGAAGCTAGACTCTAGTTTGGCAATCCAAGGACATCACCCACTAGTCCATTGAAGTATTAAAATGTTTAATACTAAAATGTTTTAATAAATAAATAAAATAAAAATAAATAAAGTAGCTGACTAAACTTCACTGGATTGGTAAAGTTCCTGGTTCTTTTTTCCATGAATATGAAGCTTTATGCAAAAACAGGTTTGACTTTTAGAAGCATGCCCTAAGGAGGAAACAGTTTTTCTAAGCTACTTTTTTCTGGGAAGATGGAGCCACAGGAGTCTACTATATTGGATGAGGGTCGAACAAGGCAACCAGGTTTGATTTTGGGGTATATCTGTTGCCAAAGGCAATACATTTATGAATTAATGGTATAGTGGAAGGTTGTGAATCATGTGCTGACTTCTTGGGTCACATAATGATTGGATTCACTTGAGTTGGTGAAGGTGAATCCAGGTTGCTAATGTCAGGATGGCTTATTTTTTGACTTATAAGCACCTTAAAAAACCATGGTCTGTAGTATGGGTTCTTTGACCTGTGAGGGGTTGGCATGTCTTGCAAGCATGGACAGCACAAGCCGTGGATTAAAGAAAGTGGCAGGTGAGCCACTTGCTAAGCAACATCCAAGCAAACAACATTGCCAGCTGTCTCAAAGGGACTCAAACGTGTAGCTGGCACCGGTTTCCTGCCCCTGCTGTAATTTGATATTGCTTGGGGGGAGGGGGCTGTGGCTTTTTTCACCTTACCCTCTTCCTTCCTTCATTTTAAGTCCCTGTTTTGACAGCTCTAGTCAGTCCATACAAAGTATCCCAGAAGCACCTTAGAGGACTTCACCATGGTCACCAAACTTTACAAAAAATTCATTCATCCCAGTTTTCACAAATATTTGCAACATTTTAAACTTTTATTGACCTGCACTTTCACAACTGTGGACATCCTGAGTTGCAAGTGTATACAAATGAGGGGCTTGGGTGGACAGTATGTAGAGGGCGTCTGTTGGCAGCGTCCAGCAGCACCTCCTGTCAGAAGATGAGCTGTCGAATGGAGCCAAAGGCATAAGTGATCTTAGTTTGCGATAGTGAGGTGGTGACTTTCCAGCAGGATCCTCATGGGTCCTGAAAGTGCTCTCACTTTTGTACTTTTTCCCAGGATTCTGCTACCTCAGGAACATGCAAAAGTGTGAGCTGCGCCATCTTTAAGGGAGTGATCACTTTTGACAGCGGTCAAAAAATGAACTTAATTTTTAAAATGAGATTCAGAAAGGGGTAAATAGTGTTTTGCTGGGAGTTAGTATAAGGAATTGTAATGGGGAGGAAAGACAACCTGATCTTCCTGCAGTGCCCTGGGATAATTGTGGGAGGACTGAGGGCAAAGGGGCAAACTACCAATGGCAAGTCCAGTCATCTGCTGGGCTCACCATGGGTTGTTCACACAATGACCTACCCACCATGGCTTATTGCCAAAGTGCGTTATTGTGATGTGCAAATGTGCTTATTGCTTTCTTTGGTTTTTCAAAGAACAAAGGTACCCCCTGGCTTGAGGGGAAACTGAGGAAGCATTTTGCACAGGGCCTCCTGGCAACTCTTGTGCTTGTTGTTTGCTGTTTGGGGCAGTTGTGTGGCTTGGCACCTCTCCTCCTCCTCCTCTCAACCTGCTGCCAAAAGGAAGGGCTGTAGCAGCCTGTTAGTCAAGGCTGTAGTCCCATGACCACCTCTTTAAATAAGTGTATTGTTTCTGTTGATTAACCTAGAGTACCCGTGAGCTGAACCAAAGCTACCTTTGTGGGTGTGTGACCAACAAGGGTACTTTTTGAGGTCCGGATTACCTTTTTGGCCATATCCTTTGAAGGGAAGCATCTGAGGGGTTGAGTTTGCTGCTCCTCAAAGTTAGCAAAAGGACCCTTTAAAAGGTCTCTCTGTGGGGCTGCTGCTGGGTGAGCTGGCTGCTGCTGGTCACAACTGGTGACCTTGTACAGCATTATCACTGATTAGAGGCACTTCAGGAAAGGCACCAGCCTTTAGCTTCCGATTTCCGAGCTTTGTGGAGTTTAAGTCAACATGGGTAAGCCTTAAGTTTGGTCTTAAACCAGCAGGGGTTGGGGTTTCTTTAATCACAGAATTGCCTTGTTATTCTCCCCTCCCCATCAGACATGGGGGTGGTGCAACTGCTGATGTGGTGTGAGGACATTGCTGCCCAAGGTCTAATTTGGAATCTTGCCCCATCACAAGATTTTCTGCCCGTCAAGTAGCAACAGCCCTAGGAAGGTTCAAGCAAGGAAGAACAACCCTGTTGTCTTTTGAATGCTGCAGAGACCCTCCGCTTGCTTGCGGCTCAGAAGATACAGGAACAAGGAAATAAAAGGATTAGGCTGCTCCCAGGGCATACAGTTGTAGCTTGTCCTCATTGAGCTGTCCCTCCAGTACAGCTGTTGGTCCTAAAAGTAAGGTGGCAGCCTTCGGAGCCCATTTACTTTTCATCCTGTCTTTAACTGCCTTGGCGCACATGTCTCCTGAATCTTTAAAGGATATTTTAGAAACTAGTTGCTACTAGAAATAAGTTTATTGCAAAACTTTCACTGATTCTTCACAGAAGCACCGTTTACCTATTCTGTTCCACAATATTTGTTAAGCATTATTTTGATTTCCCATTTGCCCAATCAAAGTATTTTTTCTTTGAACTGGAGGCTGTGATTGGTTATTTGAGTTCCAGAATAAATGAATACAATCTTTGGGTTATTTATACTTGTTTTTCTAAATGCCTGTGGCTAATATATATGGCTATTGCTTCCCTTTGATTCAAGACATTTAATCAGATGTGTTTAAAAAGAATACCAGCCCACTTTCTTGAGCAGACTCACAAAGAGCACATTGGTTCTGCCTCTGCCAGGCTCTGAGCTCAGAGGGAGTTGTGAATGACATATATTTTCATTGGGCTGTTTTTTAATGACAGTATTTATCATGTTAAAACAGTAGCTGAGGCAGAACCAATAACTCAGAAGGAGAGGTTGCCAGTCAGCCACCTGCTTGAGCCCCCTAAGGCAGGGATTCTGATTGGCCTTGGCAGATCCAGATGTTTGCCATAGCTTCTCTGGGACAGGCTTGCCCAACCTGTCACCCTCCAGATGTGTGAGGGTACGACTCCTAGGATCCTGTAGTTGCCTGGGGGATGCCACAAATTGTGGTTCCACACCTTTGTAGGGCAACAGGTGGGGAAAGCTGTTCTGGGAGCAGGAACTGTTCTCTGGGCAAATAAATTCTCCATTCACAAGCTGCTTTAGGCAAGAGGCATTCCAAACTGAATATACAAAGCAAATTAGCTGGAAGAGCACACACATTAATGGAGCAGCCTGTTGGTAATTTAGCTGTCAATCCACACAAAGGCCTCAATCCAGCCAGAGTTAGTTACGCTGAACTCCTATTGAAACCAGCAGAACAATATCCCACCTTAATTTAAGTGCCTTTGTTTAATCTAAGTCCCTTGGCTTTGTCATGGTAAAAGCAGAAAATCATTAGAAGCCAATGGGACTTGCAACAAAATGTTGCCACGGAGCCTCGTTCTTAAAAGGAGTATTCCGCTTTAGATTTCCAGCCACAATTCCCCCCAAGCTGGCGTTTCTTCTTTGCCATCTGCCCCACCCCACCCCAGTGCTACTTTTCCAGTTTCTGGCCTACATTCTGTGGCTGCTGAGCATGCTCTGCCATCGTGGGCCTGGTTTTTGTGTGGTTTGTTATCCTAGGGTTTTTCCCTCTACTGTTTTCTATTCTCGTGCAAACTCTGGAGTCCTCTCAAGTACCTTAACGCTGCCCTTTTGTTTCTCATGGCCCTTTTCAGCTATAATCCTGGTGACACTGACCATGTCTTGAGCTAGGTGTTCCCAGCAAGACAGACTCTCCAGCACTTCCACGTAGAAGTCCCTGAGCATACACAAAGTGAGATGTTCAACCCCCTCTGCCCCCTTTATGCAAAGCTTTGTTTATGAACCCTTCGGGGCCTGTCTTGGGAAGAAGGGGTGCTGTTGAATCAGGTGCACCTGCATTCTGCTCTCTGAGCCCCTAATTGGGCCAGCCTGTGGCTGTGACGACATGTCCTCGGGCCCATCTCCTCAGGAGGCTGGCATTCTCCATCTGAGAGACTACCCATCTCCAAATCCCCTCCCTCAGGAAGTTGTTGTCCTTCTTCTTCCTTCCCACAGGTGGGTGGACTGGGCTGGGCCCCATGACTGTCCTTGAACTAATTTCATCCAGAGCAGGCACAGACTGGGGCTGAGAAGCTAGGACTGCAGGTGCAGGCCTGTCCTTTACAACAACAATTCCATTATCAGAGTTTGAGCTCTCAGCTCTCTCTGTATCAGCCAACTCCCCATCATCCTCGGAGCTATCAGTCCCACCAAAACGGTCAGCTTCTCGTGCACGCCTGGGAATCTCGCCAGAATGTGCACACATGACAGACCATCCAAGTTCTCTATGAGAAGGAGTGATGACCGACGTTAGAACCCCACCCCTCTGAGCTTTTAGCTAAGATCCAAAAGGAAGTTGGTGACACAGTTGGTA